GGATATTTTGTGTTCCTAGTTTTGTTTTATTAGGATGTTGCGGGGTTTGTCCCAACATCCATCTCAGTATTTTAGAGGCTTCATAGACAGTCAGTCAGTTAGTTTTGAGTCTCTTATCTATGTATATATGTAAATATTCTATTTTGAGACTCGAGTTGCCCTTTGGGCCATATTTTTATTAGTAAAGTTGTTTATGTCTTTGCATGGCATTGAGTCATTCTGTTGAGCCAGATTTCCGCTGAGTTAAGAAAGCCAGGCCAAGGGTTCGCTTGGGGCCAGCAATGGTCTCCGAGTGCCGGTCCCGCCCAGGGTGTAGGCTCGGGGCGTGACAAAGATCATCGGCAATTCAACACTAAAGAATGACAATAATGTTAAATATTTGTTCTTTAGTTTTACATTGGTTTAGACAATTAAAATACATAATCTAATTTTAATTTTTTTTAAATATTTAATCAAGCAATTAATACTTATTAGATTTATTTTAGCATGATTTAGTACTTTTAAATTATAATCATTTTTCTAATGACATATTAATTCACAATATTTGTTTTATGTCATTTCATTATTATTTTTTGTTGAATATTTAAGTGTCATCCCTCATCTCATATTTTGTGTTATTTTCTTAAAAAGCATCTTAGATAGTTGTACTTTGGTGGGATTGAAAAAATATTTGGAGCACAAGTTAATTATACGTTTGTATGAATACTTTACCGGAAAAATTTCAAAAAAAATCCGAGATTGAAAAACTCGAGTTTTATTAGTTTGATTTGATTTATAAATTTAAAAATCAAACACAAATGATTTGATTTGATATTTGGAAAATCTGAACTAAGCCGATCACGTACACCCCTAATAGATACCTTTCTTTTCTTTTTAGTTTTCCTTATTTGGGGAATCTATGAGCATGGCTTCTCAATTTTTCGAAGATGCGTTTTGTTACTTTGAAGAGAAGAAATAAAATATTCAATAAGTCAGCACAAATTAATTCGAATTCAGCCATGGAGGTTATTCCATAAAATATTTTGTCAGAACTTTAAGTTCAAGTTCTCAAAATTAATTTGTCGTAAATGAATTTTGTTTTGAATGCATGATTTCTCATAAAGAATTGAAATATCGAGATGAGTTATAATATAAATTTGAGATTATTTAGGTAAAATTTGAATTAGTTTTGGATTGAATTTTAGTATTAGTTAATTGAAATTCAAAATTATGAATTGTATCAAAAATTGTGTGATAATCATACAATGACAGATGAGCTACATGAAAATTGTTTTTATTTTAGGTATGTTATTGTAGTTGTATTTTTTTTTCTAGTCTCCCACCTGATGTTCGGCACTTGCATTGAAGCCTGACTATTTCGAATTCGCGCCCCGTAGAGTCCCATTTGAGGAGAAGCATTTGCTACTAAGAATTTTTTTCATACTCAGGGTTGAATATGAGACCTTAGTTAAGAGAAGAGCAACATCATCTATTGTGCCACATCCTTTGGTGGTATTGTAATTGTATTTAGTTTGATATAAATGTTGTATACAATATTGTTGTAGTTGTATTAAATTTTAAGTAATCTGCATGAACTTCATACAAAATTTATATAGTTATATACATATTTCATACCAAATTTATATACTTTTCGTACACAAAAATTGTGAACGAAAATTCTAAGCTTTAAGTGAGATATATATATATTTCATATGAATTTTACATTGTTTTCATACACGAAATTTCGTATATGTTTGGAAAAAAACTCCTGCTATGTTTGAAATTATTTTGCTACGTTTCGTAAATATGAATTTTATTTCTATATATATATATATATATATATTGGTGATTTTTCTACAAAGTTTTAGTTTCTTGTATCATATCATATCATCATATCATCATATCATATATATTATTATAAGTGGGAAGCTTCAAAAGTGAAAAGTTAAATTACCATTTTACCCCTACACTAAATCAAATATTTAATTAATTAAATAATAAATAGTAAAATTTAAATTAACTAAGACTAAATACACGTTCTAGGGTGAGTTAATAAGCAAACATCTAATTAATTTAATAATAAATAGTAAAACTAAAATTACCTCAAGGGTTTATAGTAAAATTTTAAAAGTTGGAAGACTTAATTACACGTTTTAGGGGGATTACATAAGAAGTTTAACAGCCCTATTTCTAGGTTTACTTGCATTTCTATATTAATGCTCCACATTTTCTAAAGGTGTGCAGTTTTTTCTTATTAACAGAAGAAAAAGAAACTCAAAGGACTAAGCAAATAATTAAATGTTTGGAATGTGAAAAGATATATTTCAGATAATATCATAATAAAGAATTAATGAGATGGTTTGTAGTTGCCCTATTTATTACTAATTACAATTATTTATATTTTTCATCTTCTTATTCATTCAAACTAGACTAGATTCCATGTTTAGAGCAGTAATTAGTGGCAATGTTAATTCTCTTACTT